TACACGATGCATTTTATTGATAGTTTGCAATAAAAATATTATATTAGGATTCTTTATGAACATATTTAGTATTCCAGCATTTATATTGCTTTTCGTTATCAATAGAACGCTGTTTAATATCTATTTTTACTTTCTATTACATTGTTGACAATATTCGAAAAACCATACTAACATTTACGATGAGTATCCTATGGCTATAAGTGATTACCGATCGAGTGTGTTAAGTTTTCGCGTTGAAGAAAGGTGTAATAGTGTTAGAATATCGATTCATCGAGACGATTCATCCGTTGGAATGCAGCCTCGTTTAAAAGGTAAATGAAATACCATCGGTTCGACGGATCGATCTGAAAATCGCAACTCGTTGCCAATCGATCCAAGGCGTTTCGCTTTTCTTCAAGGTTGGATCTGGAACGATCGCCATGACTCAGTCCTCCTGGTATTACATCAAACAAACATGCCTATTATGACAAATTACGTTAAAGTCGTAACGCCGTCTGGAACTATTGCTTTTACTACGGAAATGGCGATTTCCATTCGCGATTTAGGCTTTGTCGTGTGACGCATCGCGTTGAAAGAATTAATTAATTAGGCGGGTGTAATGAATTAATGGGTCAAAACGCAATGTAGGTATTTACGCATTTATTTACGTCAGATTGCTCGGGTTGCTTACGAAAATAGCGCGACAATAATAGCAAGGTCGCAGTCGCTATTCGAGATGGCGTCGACGTTTCGCGTTTGATGAATTAATTGATCAAGATGGTTTAATAAATTATAATGAAATCATGATGCAGATTTTGATTTTATTTACTATGCAAATTTTTATCAACTTATCTTATCTGTAGTAATTGATTATATAAGTAATAATTGCTTATATAATAATTTATATATTATTTATAATCGAAAAGAAAATTTTTGCATCGTAATAAAATAATTCATAGAATGAATACTAAAATACTATCTATTTACAGAAAGCGACAGCGTCGCACGAATATACGATCTTTCTCTTACTTTTCTCGCAGTATATGCAGATTGCAAAATAGTTTCTAATTCTTTAATCATTCGCTTAATTAAAACATCGTTAATTTAAATATCTTTATTCCCTCGTAAAGTATTCACGCGTAAAACATTGTACAAATATGAATATTCAACATATGAAAATTACTTAATATAAGTATTTATTATTTTGCATTCAAATATCTTTTTCAATATAACGCGATTTGGCAACGCGATTCCTCGTTTTCTTCCACTGTAATATTTTTATTCGATTAAAAAAATATAGAATGGGATTTCTGATTATAAATGCAGAATCACCGATCAATTAATTCAGATCACAGCTAATTACAGCAACGACGCGGATAATCGGAAGAATTTTATCGGCAAGAATTTCCTATATATTTCACGGGACGTAGCGTCATTTCGAAGAGCTTTTCCTCTACGCAGTTCGAATTTTTTCGCGATTCGAGTCACGCGAGTCGAGGAAAACGGAATTCAATAGTTCCATTCGACGACAAAGAGAGGGAATAGAGAGGAGGATAGAACCAGATCGTCCTTCTTCCTCTCTCTCTCTCTCTCTCTCCCTCTCTTTCGTCCGTCCTCTCTCTTCCTCCCTCTTTGGAATGGCACGAGGCAAACGAATTATCCAACTCGTGCCGTCCATCGAAATCGGATTATCGTCAATTCCTCTGCACTCAACCCCGCCCATCCGACACCCACACAGTGTGTATCGATTTTCGACACTCTGTATACAAGCAACTTATTTCATCCCCGCGTCGTAAACATTTCGGCCCTAAGCATTCGTCGCGCGGATTAATCACGGTTTAATTGGAAAATCTCGCTCGGCAAATAAAGCTTTTGAGGCCCGTGCAAACATGTCAGCCCAGGGGCCGGTCAACGAAACCCTCGTTTGCGTCAGCGTGGGTGGAGGCCACCGTTTGAATATTTCCGCTACCTTTTCAAAAGAAAATGTCCCGGTTAAAGGTTAAGAGTCAGATTTAATTACGGAGCGATGTATAAACGAATCTTGATATTTTTACATTTTTCGTTGTAATTTTCAATATTTTCCTATCCATTTCTATTTTTTATTTTTCTCTTTAAATTTTTCAATCTTTAAGAATTAAAAGTTTATCAGATCCTATTTGCTTCTTTTTTATTCAAGCTTATTTTAGATAGAAAAATTGATTTTTATTATTTTATTTATATACTAATTACGTTATGAATTGTCTGAAAAGCTTGCGTGCTCCCAATTAATCAAATAATAATAATAATAATATTCTAATAAGAACTTTGCACGAATCATTATACTTTTGCGTCAATCAAAGAATCTTCGTAATTCTTATAATATATATCGCATCGATGTATCGACACGATATATCCAGAACGGAATCGGGGACGATGAAAAATCGTCCGTTGGTAATTAAAGAGTGCGGTCGAAAGTTTCTCGGTTCGTGTACTCGGCCGAAAATTAATATGCCGATATCGAAGGCAAAGTATTCGCGCGGGCGATAAATTCCAACCACCACGTTTCTCCGTGGTCGCGAGGAAGGCGAGATTAATCGTAGTCACTATGAAAGGAAAAAAAAAAAAAAAAAAAAA